TTACTGACAAAAGATCTAAAGATTGTGAAGACATGGATATGATGGTTGTGAAAGAAATAATGGGTCATGTTATTGAGCCATTCACATATATCTGTAATTTATCATTTTCAAAAGGAATATTCCCTGACAGAATGAAAATAGCTAAGGTAGTTCCTCTTTTTAAAAATGGTGAAAAATGTATATTTAGCAACTATAGACCTATATCTTTGTTGCCACAATTTTCAAAAATTCTTGAAAAATTATTTGTGTCCAGATTAGATAAATTTCTTGATAAACATAATATTTTAAGTAATAGTCAGTATGGTTTTAGATCAAAAAATTCAACATCCATGGCTCTTATGGAGTTGATAGAACAAGTTACTACAGCGATAGATCAAAAACAACACTGTATAAGCATATTTGTTGATTTAAAAAAAGCATTTGACACCATTGACCACACCATTCTACTTGAAAAATTGAAACAATATGGTATTAGAGGTCCAGCTCTACAGTGGATATTATCTGAGGGACAGAAAACAGTTTGTACAGATTGATGATGTAAGCTCTAATCTATGCAGTATTTATAGATGATTATTGATTGAATTGATTGTTTGAATTGATTTTGTTTAAGAAGGGGCAGAAATAATAAGATTTTTCTTCTTCTGCTGCCTTTCATTTTATGTTTGGTATTTTACTCTCTTGTTTTGAAATTGTTATTGTGTTTTTAATTTGAAATGAATAAATAAATTAAATGAATAAATAAATTAAATAAATAAATAAATAAATAAAACCCTGTAACAAATGGAAACTAGTTAGTGACTTGGACGTCTCTAAGACAAACCACCTGCAAACATTTAGAAAGATTTTCCCGACTGCCCCAAATTACTTTTGCCAAATAATGGCCAACAGTTGCAGCCCAGTGAGGCACTGGCTTCACTTGTGAGAAAAGAAAAAAACAACTAGACTTTGGATTAGACAAAATTTGTTGTTTGAGCAAACCTGATTTTTATTGCACTGCATATTATTCAGTTTAAAATGCCTTTTGCAGTCAATTTACTTGGTGCTAGTCTGCATATTTAACTGTGTGTGGTTGGTTCCAGGCAGCTAAAAACACTTGGCCTTGGGAACCTGCTCTGGTTTTCTTAATACCTTGTGATCGTCAAGAGTGTGGCACCTAGATAAGAGACCTGTAAGACTTGGATGCTTTCAGTGTCACTTTCCTCTGCTGACAACAGAATGACATAATGGTGCTTCTACCCAACTGATTATTGTTAAATAAAGGTAAATTATTTCTGTGTCCCTGTGATGGACTTGTGACCTGTCCAGGGTGTCCCCCGCCCCTCGTACAGTGACTGCTGGACATAGGCACAAGTGATCCCCGTGACCCGAAAGGAAAGAAGCGGGTCAAGAAGATGGATGGATGGACGGACAGACGGACTGATATAGATTATGACAAAATCTGATAAGTTACATTTATGATCCATTTTTAATGCATATTTGAGTGCAATTCATATTTGAGTCTCAAAATTGGAACAAAATTTAAAGGAAACAAGACAAATATAATAAAAAAAAACAAGCAGAGGCATGTACAACACTGAGGTCTGTAGAACTGACCCATGTATCAATGCTGCTCTGGCTCCAAATGAGTCCCTCTTGTAAAATGACGAGCTGAATGTCAGGAACTCACAAGGTGCCTTATGCTGGGCTGACAGCCAGCTAACAGAACCAAATGAGGGGTCAGTGAAAACAGCACATGACAGAGTATGACATCAACTTCATATCATACTTCATCATGCACCACCGCCAAATATGTTGCTCAGGAAGATAAAAAGCAAATGATTACCAAATGTTAAAGAAATAGAATCTCACAGGGTTACTGACATAACTTAAATCTGACTAAAGTAGTAAAAATGGTAAAAATGACTAAAATCTTGCGTAATTGCCAGTCTATAGCGCACACCTGACTATAAGCCTCGCACACATGACACACTTGTGTATAAGCTGCGGGTGTTCGCGTTGTAACATGAATGGCAGCACACAGCTACTGAGAGAGATGTACAGCTCTTGTTGTAGATCAATAATCAACCACCAGATGGTGTTTTATAGACTTTATGTTCCTGTTCAACACACACACACACACACACACACACACACACACACACACACACACAGAAAGAGTGAACCCCCAGGTCTTCATGAGAACCACCTCCTTCACTCATGTTTACTCTACTAAATGTTCTAACACAAACTAACACATAATGAACACAAACTAGGCTAAGAAGAACAGACTAATCACTAATAGAATGTTAAACAGCTAACTGAAATTATTAACAATGAACATAAATTTTACCCATAATCCCTCCCTGAGACCATGTGACTGGCCACAATGGACCACAGAATGCTACAATACATACCAGTACATACACAAATATGTACAGTAAATGTTTTTTGTTGTTTTTTTCTGAACAGTGCTGGTAACACGGCTGGTAAAAAAAAAAAAAAAAAAAGAGTAGCCTACCAGAAAGTCATTTATCGTCATCTTTTTTAAGCTGTCCTGCTCCGCGGAGCTCACATGACTCCCGGGGACGGGGGGTTCTACCCCCACTCCCTACTCTCTCCTCCCCTCCCAGTTTCATTAGTTCGACTGTGACCTGTTTGGCAATTTCATACGTCAGGTGTTTTTTTTTTTAACCTTTATTTATACAGGTAGTCTCTTCAATACACATATCTCTTGGGGGGTAAGTCGTCATGACTAAGACTGTATTTACACGGACACGATGGGAGGAAAAGTAGTTTTTTTCGTATGTTAATTCGAGGAAAAGATCTGTGTTGACACGGACGGATTTTGTGTTGCCAGGTCATTAGTTAGCGCTGTGAATTTTGTACATCCACCTAATGTGCAT